CACAGCCCAGCAGTTGCGGTCAAAAGAATTACCGGCACAAAGGGGTTAAATATTTGTGTAAGTTGTGCCGTGATTTGTTGTGCAAGTCATAGACTTGAGCAATGCATAACTTTATGAAATGTGTCATTATTTATTGCGCAACTCACAGAATATATGAAAATGTGGCGTCAGTGAAAGTTACTCCATTGCATCAAGTTTCATGAAATCGGCTGCAGAACCAATTGTGTGCAGCGTGCATCACACAGTTCGCATAACTCTTTTTGGTGAACAAGTATTATCTGTGCTTAGCAATTTCTGTGCTCCATGAAATGGATCCATGGCGGGGGAGCATTGTTTCCGGAAGAAGTTTCCTAATGTGGAGTGGGAATGTTTTAATTGTTGAGAGGTCCTCTCTGACTGGACACAGTGTGTTTGATTCATAGCGCTGTACATGAGCTCACTTTTCAGAGTGCCATCTTGGTCTAGTCCCCTGTGTGCATCATTGAGCAGCCTAGTGGAGTGAGGCACCACATCTTTAGCACTGGTACATGTATATGTTCAGTTACGGACCTCATTTTACTTTCAAAACTTTAAAGGGTTTTCCAGTATTCGGCTTTAGCTTCAGCTCTGGCTTTGCCTGATTTTTAACCTCATGACTTTGAAGATGTTTATCTCATGAATAAGTCATACATTGCTAGCGGCATATCTCACTACATGTTATTGACCAGATCAGCCAAACGATTAAAATATCCCAGAGATAAAGCCTGAGATAGAGTGTGCCAAGTATTTGAAAACCCCCTTGCATGCAGGAAAAGGTGAAGACCAGCCCCCACATTCTTCAGGGTGGAAACCTTCCAAAAGACAACGAATCAATGAGGCCCAACAATGAGGATTAAAGGTCTCACAGTTGAGAAGCGTTTTTGTCTCTCATGTTTTGTTGCTGAAAATCTGAGTAGACTAACTTAAGTGAAAAGGCCATCCCACGGAATTCTCAGGCTATTACGTTATGCGCACATATCATGCATGCAATTTGGCACATATTTGTGGTGTGCACACCATGTGGTGGTGGTGACATCTCTTGAGGACGAGTCTGAGTCAACTGGTTTTGTGTCCATATCATGAGTCAGCATTCACAACGTCCAAAAACGTGACATGGCGTGACTCACCTTTCAGACTTATTGAAGACATCATTGTTGTTGGTATGCTGCTAGAGCATTCCGACCTCTATGTAGCCAGTATTAAAGCCAGAGGTTTGATCACGGAAGCCAGAGGTTTGATCAAGGAATTTGTCTGTAGAAAACATGGGTAGATTAAAGATAAAATCCTGTCCAAAGTCCAATGCATGCCAAACCTCAGTCATCAACTGTGTGGGTTGCTACGGGAGTCTGAGTCATATCAACAATACGCAGAGACATGTAATTGCACTCCAAGCTTAAAAAGGAAAAAGAGCGGAACACCGATGGACATGTAACTCTTGGTTCATAGGCTTTTGCACTTAGAAGAATACAGTTTATATTAATGCACCTGTAGTTCCCCTTGGAGGTTGTAGCAGTGTACACGTCCATGTACATCAGGTGTTGTCGCTGGAGCAAAGAAATCAAAGCATGAAACTCCTCCAGTGAAATATAACACCTTGGCTGGACAAAGTCCAATGCCAGCTCACACGTGCTGGTGACATTGGGCTCAACATCTACATATACATGTATAGGACCCAATCAAAAGATGGCAAAGTACCACGTGACCGCATGGTCACTCAAGATCAGCCACCAAGCCCGAGTTCTTTTTCAAATGACATGATGGTCGCTATCTTTTATATTGGAGGTTTTGCCCTTCAGCAGTGTATATTTATGAACTGTCTTCACTTGGTTTTGTCCGAGGGTTGTTAAAAACAATTCACAAGCTCACTTGGGTGGGACTCCAACCCACGACCTCCTGTTTAGCAGTGCAGACGCCTTACAGCTTGATCACCCACATGTTGCTTGCTGGGGTTGGTAGCCAGTTATGGTTTGAGTTAGCACTGGTATTGCATAAAACATATTCCTACTGTACATGTGAGATGTGGTTCAAGGCCCACCCAGGTAAGCTTGGGAATTCTTTTGGCTGCCTTCAAAAAACATCCTACATGTGAAAGAAAATCTTTCAATGTAACATCAGTATCTCACAGATGCAAAAAATCACATCTTGCTGATACAGCACTTGGTGTTGTCTGCACATTCAAAGCAAGCTTTCTGAAGGCTTACTCACTTCCTACATGTACTTGTACATATACATGTACATGTAAATACAGTGCATGGCACCATGGTCTTTGTCTATGATGATGGTGGATTGGCATCAGGGTCTCGTGGGTCAGTAAGAATGCCCTGTATGTATATTTAGGTGGATTCTGCGATGTACAAAGACCTGTCATGTATTTCACAGATTTACAGAAAGCAAAAGTCATCATTATACATGTATAAAAAGGATTGATTAGGAACAGTTTCCTTTCCATTTGCCTACACAGCTTGGAAATCGCTATACCTCTTGGCCACCAAATTCCCCTTCCAAAGAAAAGTAATAAAAAATAAATTAACTAATAATTGAGGGCCAATTTGGGACAAAATACATGTATGTAAATTTGTGTTTGACATTGATGATTAACTTGGTTATTTGGTTCCTTTTGTGGTTTGTTTCTTGGTCAGTCAGCAAATATTGAAGCCAAGCAATTCTATGAATTGTGACAGGTCTTAAGTACATGTTCACGTCAGTGCGAGTCGGCGAGTCAGACAGCGCACTGGCAATACTGTTTTTTAATGATACAACAAAAGATGTACAAAAATCATATGAGTGGACGTTGTTTTGAATGATGTAAAGAATTTCATACAATGTTATGTACTCCATTGAGCATTATGCCACCATTTTGATTGTGGCATGTGATACATACCTTATGCCAGTGGTACATATATCATTTTGTTTTGGTTCAGTAGATGAAAAAAAAAATTAGGTGGCATTTACTGAGGGAAATAGGTGTTGCAATTCATATACTGTAAATGTGATTTTATGATAATGCAAGATGTGAAATCCAAGTATAATGACGTTAAAACCTCAAATGTGCACACAAACTGTGTCCTCAACATATTAAAAATCCATGACGACTTAATTTTCCCTGTAATTTTTTTCAGATTTGCCTATGTGCATTTAAAGTAAAAATACCTTGGAACTGAACAGTTTGTACAAATATTGTTCTCAGTCCCAGACTCATGAACTGCACACATCACTGTATTTTGCAGGCCAAAAAGTTCTAGTGTGTCCTGGAAAAGGATCAATTATGTAACATCTGTTTTGCTTGCTTCCTTTTCCTGCTTTCAACACATGTGGATCCTTTTTACACCTTGAAAAGGTGCTGGTAGGGCTTTCTTGCATTTTATATCATGGTCATGGACTTTTTTAACCTTAGCAGTGCCAAATCCTTTGATTTCAATATGATTTTACATACACCCGATGGGTTAGGGTTAACCAGATTTCACTGCTTAACAGTGGTGTACATGCATGCATTGCATTAGTAACAAATACGTAAAAATGCAAGAGTGACTTGCGCAGCGTGTCCATTCAGCATTCTGAAAGCTGAACTGGATTCAGAACTGTGACAACTGGTTCCTTGCTGTATTATTCTGCCAACCAGCTGTTTTTTGTAAAACACCTTGTCTAGTTTCTTGACCCTCGGAACAAAGGCAGGTCCGTGTAATTTAGTCAGTGAAATTACTTGACGTGTACAGATAGCCAGCTTCCATGGCCCTATTCCAATAATCGACTTGGGCTTTGTCTCAGGCTTCGTTCCCAAAACCAGTCCCCGATTGTGGGCCTGAAGCGTTTACATTAAATTGGATTACTGTAATTTCTGGCTCGCTTGCATCTTATTTGATGTTCTGTGGCACTGTTAAACTAATTACTGCGCTTACAGCTTCAAAGTCAGCTAGTTAAAAAACAGGTGAAGCCCGAGACGGAGCCGAAGTTGAGTATTGGAAAACGGCCCATGTGCCGGGTTGTCCTGGTATTGTGGCAAACATAAGGTTGGGAGAAGATGATAAATTGAATAGTGCATGTACGTTTGGCAGACTGTTCACCACTGTCAGTTATCATCACGTCGCAGTTTCTGCAAACTTGTGATGATATCAAAAGAGAAAGACTTGTGGAATGTTTTGGCGCTATTGATTATAAATTATCACACCAATGGGAATGGAGAGTGGAAAAGTATGATGCGTCTGCATATGTACAGATGAGGCTTGGTTCAATATTTGGAACACAGATACTCTGCATTATTGTATGATCATGAGTGGAATTTACCAATTTGTCTTCGAGCAAATTTGACGTACATGAGCTACGTTTGAGTCCACAGTACACTGCAAAGCATTATGCAATATGTGAAAAGTATTATTGGTCCTGGTGCATGTATATCAATATATGTGCATGTATGAATTAAGATCACAGATTCAGGTTTGTTTGAAGTGTACATGTATACGAAATACCCCGTATTTATGTGTATAGGAGGGCTCACAGGGTTTTCATAATCAATGTCTGAATGATGCAAATCAATGTACATTTACACCCCTCTGTTAATTACCAAGGTGGCATCACTCACATATGACCCACTCTGTGAAAATGAGTCTTCAGTCACCAGAGCCACTTTGGAGTAAAAAGTCTTTAGAATAATTTTGCACAGTGAAATCAAAAGGAACCCACAGGATTTGTCACCATGGAGTGTCCACTTTCACTGTATGCCAAACTGAGTGATACATCAAAACAAAAAACTCAATTTGCTTTTTGCAGTACTGATGAAAACTTAAAAGTGGCTCTGGTGACTTAAGATGTATTTTCACAGAGTGGGTCACATGTATGCAGTGATACCAGAAGAGTTTTTATACCATCTCAATATATAATGCTCCCCATTTTACGTGGGTATTGCTCCACAGTTTTTCAGAGGTTGGTGCTCTCAAAGAACTGCTGCAGTGTTGCAGTTCAGGCATTGATGCCCATGTACAAGTAGCTTTACCAGCTACTTTAAAAAGCGGTACCCACTTGGTGTATCCTACCCTGTGACACTAAGAGACAGTGACACCTAGTGAATTGTGACAGGTGTCCAGTGGGCGCGGGATTGCACAAAGTGGTGTTCATTGCAGCCAACTAATGCGTACATGTGTACCTAGTGGTACCATGTGGCACCCATAGGCACTCAGAATTACCAAGTGGTTCCCATTACGCAGTACCCAGTCATACGGGTATCCAGTAGTGCCCAGTTGTAGCAATACTCTAAATGGGTGCTTTATTAAACAGGTCATTTGGCTGCCAAGTTTATTTTGTCATTCAGTTAGCCTATCAGTGATTGACATCTTGATTTCAGTAAAAGCAATGCTAGTTAAAAAATGCTGTAGAAAATTATTTCATTAAAGTTTCTTGTGAATTTGGGTTTAGTAAAATGTAAATTGTAACATAAAAATGGTTTAGTTAGAGCAAAGTTATATTTTGCCTGTTTTGAAGGAAACAAAACCCTGAAAGACCACACTTGTAAAGGTATCCTTTCCTCAATTTTCTGTGTGTTGTGTTTATTTTAGAAAATGCCACCAAAGACAACTTAAAACCCCCAAGTTGACTGTGTTATTGGAAGAATTTTAACACAATTTCCTCTTTCTGTTAAACGCTTAGAGGCAAAATGCCAAAATTACTTCAAAATATTTCTGAAGGAAAAACAACAACTGCTGAAGGCTCATCATAGATAAAAAAAAAATACACATCAATGGGAAAAACTTTTTAAGGAGGGTCAAGTGGGATTAATTGTCTACCTTTGTGACTTCGGTTTAAATCCAAACATAGTGTATCGTTTGGATACAGTTTTCAGTCTCTGCCACATTTTGTAGGTTTTCTCATTCTGCCTCCAGACTTGGTTCATATCTTCAGTTCTGGTCTGCAGTGGACATTATATGTACATTCTAACCACGGTGCCAATCTGTGGAATTCATTTAATTGGTAGTAGAAAGGAAGCAAAAATGACCTCTTCTTCCATAAGAAATTTTGTGAAGAGAGACCAACGGCGACAGCCTTTGTTATACATTTATTTCCAGAACATTCTGATTGGCTGAGCCAAAATATAACTTCAAGCAGGGAGACACCTTTTCCAAGGTCTGTAACAGCTGACTAAAGAACTGCACATCAAAGGGAAATACAGTGACATGACATGAGCTACATGTAGTCTTATTTGTTCAACAGAGAACAGAAATAATTCTAATCCTGCATAGTAATTTTCAAATTTTGACAATTTATTACACTTCCACAGTTCAAATGTGAAACCAAAACTACTCGGGCAAAAACACTCAAATTTCTGGAATAGAAGAAAAACATTTCATACTCTTAGTACAATGTACTCTGCATGAGAACATTTGCACAGACTGGATCTACCCCCACCCCCAACCAAAGAGACATTTCTAATTACCATTTTGCAACCTAGTAACTACTGATATTCATCAATGCAGAAAATATATAATCCTTTCTAGTAGAAACTTCATATCAAAAATACTTTAGGTTTCAATGCAAATATCTGTTAGCACTTTAGCAGTAGTACTGTACCTACTTCCAAACAATGGGCAAATTTCATACAAAAATATTCCAACTTTCTGGTCAAAATATATAAAACATCTTCGGAGTAGATTCGGAAAATACCTTGCACAAGAGTACTGACATTGCCTGTTTTTAACAATCATGGCATTTACTGGTTTTCTTCCACAAGGAACAGAATATGAACGTTTACACATCTAGAGAAAGAAAATATTGTAATATCAACAATATTGCATGTACATTATGTAGTTCACATGACAAATACTTCAATTAAAAAGTCAATTCCAGTACACAAAATATTTAGTATCCACTGTGAAAAAACTGCACCTTACTTCAGTACACATTTCCAAAAGAGGTTAAAAATCCACGTAGTAGTTTACAATAAAGTCTAATCTTGTTGCTTTAAACAAAACATTCAGACACACCTGTACCAACCAACAATGAAAAGGACGTACACATCTTCCTGTCTAAATTGAAGCATTCTGATCTTAACATATTTTATAAACTCTCTGATCACAACGTAAATTATAAATCAGGAATGTCAGATTTTAAGGTAAGACCTGGAATGATGTGTGTAAATGTGCCTATACACTGAGACATCTTACTGTGGTGGCACCACACACGTTCTCAAACTTGACGCGCACACCCATTTGGCAAGTCACAAGCTCCTATAGACACATCCGAGCAGATGCCATTCCAGCCGGGCTATCACACTCACACATGGGCTTTAACTGTGGCTTGTGCGCAGAGTTTGGCAAGTTACGACATCCTACTGGTCAGAGAGGAATGTAGCACATGTGCACTACCTCCGGGCAAACAGGGTGACCCCACAGTAAGGGCTTAAATTCTTGTCATTGGATTTATCTACTGGTTGAAGAAAGATGCACATCAGTAGCTTCACTTCGGCATAGAAAGTTTTGTTGAAAACACCAACAGATATCTTTGGCCATAAGTGCTGCTGCACAAACAGCTATGAGTCTGCAAGGCAGGTAGTCTGGTACTGAAAACTCAGCAGCTCAAATCAAGCCCATCCCTCTAGCACACTTTTGCCACCACTGTGAAATGCCAATAACACTATGATATTTTGACATGTTAACCCACTGACCTATGAAACACTTTTGAATTTTCAGGCTTGTAGTATACTCACTTAATTTGAACTCAACGGTTTCTCGCCACACACACCAGTTGACACTTCTTTTATGTCCATTTCTACAATCTTGAAGTCTTTCGTGACAAGAGTACAATTCTAATGCTAATCATGCCCAAAGTACAATGCATTGCATTTGACAGAAGAAAGGGAGATCAAGATAAGGCTTACAAGTCTGAATTACCTCCTTTGTAAGGATTCAAATTCAGAATGGTTTCCACTATGCAGTCTTTGATTGCATAGTCTTCTGTGCCTCCGGCAGTTGTCTACCCTCCATCCGAATCTTCACGATGTAATCCTTCTCGGCCGAGCCTATGTACAGCGCATCCCCCATGTCCAGGACGCTGGTGGCAGACGAGACCATCTGGCCAGTGGGGTCGTGCAGGCTCTGCAAGATCTTACCCTGCTGGTCCAACTCCAAGATCATGCCGTACTTGGACAGCCACTTTGTGAGAGTTTCAGGGTTAATGTACTGCAGAGACAGGAGTGAGGTTGACATTTCTGGTCACGTTTGCTCTGTTTAGCTTTTTTTAAATTAAATTTTATATTGTTATTTCCACAACAATAATTAGTTATATATAATAATAATCCTTGTTAGGAGAGAGACAATTTTTGTTCAAGTGACACATTCATTTACATTTATTTTATACCAAACTTTCTGGTCACAAGATAAATAAGTGTTGACATAAAACTTACTTGTCGATAAAAAGAAAACTAAGATTCAAGCATAAACAATCTTCAAGCAGCAGAACAACAATGAATCATTTTTCAAACAAAACAAAACAGCAAACTAAACAAAAAGAAAACCACAGCAAAGGTAGACGCCAGTAGTTAGTCAAAGTAATCAAGCACACACCTTGGTGATGATCGTTCGAAGCCAGGGCCTTGCATACAGGAAATCGAAAATTGGGATGGACGTCCCGATGCGACCGCCCACATGGGCCAGAGCCACCCAATAGCCCCCAGTCACACTGGGGCGGACCTTCATCGGCATACCTGGCAGATTGCTAGCAAAGACCTGGTAGCCACCAGATAATGGGCCCTGGAAATGGTACCTGCAAGAATATAATCCGATCCTGTCATGAATATCAAGAAATGTATACAAACGTCTCCTTTTGATGCAGGCCTTTTTTTCCTTTGACATTGCAACATACGCTGTGGTCCCGAGTACATCCTTCAGACAGTTAAAATGCTGACAAAATGTTGGTGGGCTGGGACAGTTTAGAAGCATCTTATCCAGCAGAGAAGGTGAATATTTTCCTCTTACACGACAAAGAAAAATACAAGGGGAACACAGCTTGGAAATTTTAAACAGAGGAAAAGAAAAAATGACACAAAAAAAGATATAACAACAAATTGTTGAGTTAACCACTTGGGACTGCCGGTACTGGACACATATTCTTTATACGCGTGACCGGGGTCTCCGAAATCAGACAAAGGAAACTGGGTCTTGTGACAAAAGACCATACTCGTAACAAAACACCAGGCTGCTGGGCATTACCAACATTTTTTCACTCTCAATAGTGGAGATAATCCAGACTTGTTTTGAAACAGTATACCACGGTTTGGGGGATTTAGCGCGAGCGGATTGCCACCGGGGACAAAAGCGCTCCACCACCACAGTGATGAGCCACGCAGTACCGCTGTACGCTACTCTGGCCCCTATTGAAAAGAAGTCAGCAGCGCACTGTGCCAGGCTCGTGAACAAAAGAAAATACCGCACAATCTGGGCTCTGTTTACAAGGCAGCAGGCCTGGCTGAAATACTCCAGCGCCAATAGATGTTGTCTGTCAGAGTAGACCCAGACAGTCCTTCATGTGGGTGTAAGTGTCCAGTAAATGAAGGTATGAATTTTTAAAGTATTTTGAAAACAGAAAAAAAAAGAAAATATTCCGTCCAAGCATCATCAACATACATAAATGCCCCCGGCGCCAAGTGGTTAACAACTTGAGACCCAAATATGCAGTTTGTAGAAGGACTGATACAAGGAAGAAAAACTATTCACTTGAGGATGCGGAAACGAGTCGCCTCTGAGATTAGCATGAAGTCTTCATCAGGAGAGAACTGTATGCCTGTTGGGTAGTACAGCTTGGGCACGGCAATGTTGCTCATGTTGTTGATGGGGTTAAACCACATTAACCTGCAACGGGAGATTTTGAAACACAAATGTCAAAGAGAAACACAAACTATCAGTTTCTATCTGCCTAACGGGATGAACTGTTTCAAGAAGGACCTCGCCTTCAACACAGTTTTGTTGAGAACATTATAATAATAGACACGTATTTATACAGCAATTTTAACCAGATCAAAGCCCTTTCCTACAAGTGTGAAACAATAAACGAGCAAAAACGCGGAGATCAGTCACTGGAAATATCCAAATTACTGAGGGGATTTGGTAAAAAGGCGAGTCGGAGAGATTTTTAACATCGGAATTTATGGTGAGTCTCAGGTATGGCATAGAGAATACTTGGCCACTTTTACTTGTAGTTTTTATCGTCACCTGCAAACAGGACACATCGACGGAAAATCTAAACCCCAAGAGTAAGATTAAGGTAAGTTTGGAGTATTATGTGACAGGGTCAACCCCAACGTCCCAAGTATATGTGTGCTATGAACATCCTGGGACCTCCAAAACCCTCCATTGTGCATAAAAGTCAAACTTGTACTCTGACAGTTTAGAGGTATCGAGGCTGACGGGAAGTGAAAATGGGTAGGCTGCACCTCCCTCAGTCCTCCTAAATCCCCCCCCCAAATCTCCTGAAAGAATTTCAAAGGTCTGGAGGGGCTATGGCAAATGATCTTAACCCTAACCCCCTAGGATGGGTGCAAAATCATATTAAACTTGGAGGATTCAGGAATGTTAGGGCTAACTGGTAAGACTTATGATACACAAACAAGGGCTGGGATAGTACTTGAGACCATCGTAACTCCCTGCAAGTCCATCACAAGTAGTCTATTCTTGAGCTAAGTCACAAGCTATTCCATTGAACTGTAACAAGAAGCATTCTTTATCAATGTTCATCCCCCATATCCATGAAAGGACTGGACTCTTGACTGACTCAACTGCAACCCAAAATTGGACACTGACCCAGGGTTTCATCTAGAAATTACAATATCTGCCTGTCCTTCCTAATGCAACGTTAGAAACTGCCTGTCTGTTTTTAAACCGTTGCCTTTTGGTGCTATCTGAGCCCATTCCCATGACAGGTGGACAGATGGCCACATGAGATACTACACCTCCCCTCACATTTCCCCTCCACTAACTCTAACTGAAATCTAATTCCACTGAAATGTTACAACTTGCGGGGTGACTGACTAAAACAAGTTTTGAGAAAGATCACCTTCCACAGCCATTGGCCTCCCACAGGGCATTATCCCGCTGACGGTGGTTCCATGTCTTGCTGGAATCGATGAAGAAGAAGTCCCTGTTCTTGCCCCGGAACTTCTCCAGGTCGTTGCCGTACTTGATGGGGAAGCGGTCATAGCTCCGGGTACTGCTTACCAGCCTTTCAATGAACCCTGAGGAAAATTGTTAAACAAAAATAATAATTATCTCATCGCCCAAGCCATGCAGGGAAACTGGCATGGTGCTTTCAAAGTCATAATAAAGATGAACAAAGGAATAGAGTAGAGCAAAATTTCAACCTGTGACCTCCAAGACACTGTGCCAGCACTCTAGCAACTGAGCAACCAATCCTTATATTGGTGGTTCCTGCACTACTCTCGCATCAATGGAGGTGTCTGTCAGATAAGACTTGCCACCAGACAGTCATTCATGTGGGTAAACTGAGCATTTTCCAAATATTGAAAGAGATTGTTTGGAAAATCCTAAATCTGGTAATCCTGATGAAAAATCAGGAAATCAGGAAAACCTTGACAAATCTCATCCTTGAAACTACAGGTCTGATGTTCTGGAGGTCACTGGTTCAAATACCATTCCAGTCAATTTCTTCCTCATTAAAACTCATTAGTAGTACTCCTGTTATCTTTCACCCAGAATATGATTTGCTTTAGTTGTTCAGATTCACTTCACTTTTCAAAATTACCTTCACTCAAACAATTTCTTTTACTGATGACAAATATTTAGTTCCAATAAATCTGGAATTAATGTTGAAGTATCCATTTTTCAAACAAGCCTATCTTATGGATCATCCATAAGACGGGCTTACTTCTCTTTGCCAAGGCTACAAAAATTTGATTAGTTTTCACATTTGTCAAAATTAATTCATTTCTTGAATTACAAAATAATAGCATAAGTAATAAGTATACTCTTAAGAAATATAACGGTTTCCTAATAAATTTATTCTTTTCACTAAAAACTCAGTTGGCCTTATTCACAAGTCAGCCATATTGAATTAAAAGCAAGGTTAACATTTTGTTTTGGTTCCTGGGAATAAAAGTGACAGCACTGGACTGAAACTTCATTACAATACACGGTCATTTATGCTGATGGGGAATTTTAATATTTGTGATTAATTGTATCTAAATGTTTTAAACCACATTGAAGGAATATGAAAGTGAGGCATGGAACCAAAAATAGTCTGGCGTCACCCCCATTAACAGATTACATTCAAGAAGATGGGAACCCAATCAAAAATGGCTTCCTGTGAATAAGGTCTTTTGGCATACCATTTGGCTTCACTCGGAACAGTCCCATGTAGCTATCCATCACAAGAATCTCACCACCATAGATTCTCAATCCCAATGGGCGTCCACAGTTGGGTTCGTTGACGGGAGTGCCTATGGAGGAGTGAAGGGGGAAGGGGGATGAAGTTTATTAATCTAGACACTTTTTTACAACTCAAGCACATATATCTATCAGTAACTTGGTTGAAGAATTTCAGCAGGGCCGGATGAGATGATTCAAACTTACCACATGGTCTGGAACCCAGTCTTCCCATACTGCGCATTTTTGATTCGTTGGTTATTCTAAAGATTCCACCGTCATACGTTCCTGTAAATATTTTACCTGCAATGAACACAAAGCAACAGTATTTTTAAATTAATATTCATTTGTTGGGCACCACACTGACAAGTGGAAAACCTGTGCTTTCTCTCATAGCTCAAAACATCTCAGGCAAAAAAATGCATCTATCTCTTTGAGGCAATTCAGCTGCAGGTGTCTACAAGCTTGTGTTGAGACAGAAATACTATCACCACAGGAAAATAACAGTTAGTCAAGAACTGAAGAATCATTTCAAAGTAAAGCTTGGGTCGTCACCTGCTTCAGAGAAGTTGCAACAAGCCAATCTAGGATGTGGTTCAATGACATACAACATTTTTTCACATCTTTATACTGAAGTGAATATGGCCAATTTCCATTCTAGTAAAATGTCTTTAAATGAGACAGACAGGCCAGCAAGATGGAGAGCAAAACAAAACTGATTTCCAAGTTTCCCTTATTAACAGCAATGTTTTCCATTTTTACAGCTAAGGGCACAGTTACAAAATTTGAGTCCCACGTCTTTGTAAACCCTGGGCTTACATAACTGCAAATGACGTAGAAAAACATTTCAGTGCATCCAAAGGGGCGCTAGTATCACACTAGGCTTTCTATCGTATTATCTGGTCACAGGTTACATAAATTTTTTTGACTATCTGTGATTTTTGTATTTTTTGCTGCCACAGTTTAAGTTTTTGAGGATTTATGATGGCATGGGGCATGAGTCCTCTGATCCCAGTGAGAACCCAAGCACACATTCGCAGGAAGATCAGACCAATTCACCCCTATTTACATCTCCAAAGACCTCCATAATGTCTCCAAGGTCTATTTCTTGCGCTACAAGTTGTTCTCTTGAGTTTTAGTAGAACGCTTAACTTTCTCACCGCCAGCCATCACTAACCATTATCTTCAGCTAGGCATTCCGGCCCTCGTATCTTCCCTTCCAGGAGTTTGACCCCATCCAACAACCTTGTGTTCGGGGCAAGAGCGCCTTCTAGGGCTGGAGGAGTTGGAAGGCTGAAAGACACAACATCCAAGCATCACTGAGAGATGTGTATGCTATCTACGGTAGATAGCGGCTAATTAATACTGTTCTGAGCTTCAGTTTGTGATACACCAAAATTTCTCACACAATAAGCACACAAGAAAAGGCTCGAGGAGAGGACGAATCGAATTTGCGTACTGTATAAATGTCAATGCCAAGAATACAATTAGCCCTGTATCTCTATCGTGCACTGGCTCAAAAGCCTGCAACCCACAGTGTCGAAGTGAGAATCCTTCTGGTACTAATAAGATCCAACCATCCCTTAGGCCAAACAGCGTCAGAGTTCCAAGTGGTGACCATTTGGCAGTTTATACCAATGTTAACTTCCAAATGCGATAAGGTCCCACAGATTTGTAAATTATCAGCTACAGTGTACACCTTTTTGCAGCAGGTGGGGCAAGGGCTATGGGGCACACCCGTTACCAGGAAGGGGGGGCAAAGCTCTTTCTAAGGGGATCAAAGTTCTCATTGGCAGCAAACTGACAAGGCAGTAACAGTAGAAGGGGTTTAATTCCACAATATAGTTTCACGCAGTATGGTGATTATCACCTCATTTCTTTTTCTAAGCTTTTCCCTTTCCTTTTACTTAATTTTTCCTGTTTTGGTCACAATATAAGAAAATGCTTTCAAGGTTTGTACAGTAACAAAAAATGGAATGGATCAGTTGGATTACCTACCTGAAACCTTCAGGGTTGATTGGTGACTCCAAATAATAGGTAACTGCACCAGCAACAACAGCTACTCCCATTAGTACTTTCAGAACAAATTTAGTGCGCTGCCTGTGAAATTAATACAAACAAATTGTAAGATTGGATAAAATGGGATAAAAAGGTACACTTTAGGAATGCAACTACAAGAATGCTACTTCACTGAAACTTTTAACAGCACATTTACCATAACGTTGGGGGCCTTAGTTTCCAAACTCTTGGCACAGGCACTTGATTCTTCTTGGTGTCAATTTCCTCCACGCCGGGGGAAGGTGCTAGAGACTGGCCCTTCCTTTTCTTGAGGCCACTGCTTGACGATGTAGCAGACATCTTCTCAAATGATCACTTCACAGTAACTGAACTGGTGTTGCTGATGGGTTCCTTCTATACTGGAATCAAACATTGATTTTTCTATGTATGAACAATGGGAGACTTTGAGACGCTTGGTGGTGAAAAACAAACCAGTTCTTCTTACCAGTTCTGAGCATGTGCTCATTGTTCTGAGCATGCGGCATTGTTCTTAGCTTGCGCAATACTGTGAAGAAGGACCGGTATGTCTGCTGCCACTAGTGTCTCACAGGCTCCCATTAAAGTTAACATTTCACATTTTAAACTCATGAACTACTTAACTCAAAAATGCTAAATTTTGGAAATGCGGTTGAGTGAGGAATGCAAAGATAAAGTTAAGCTATGTGGGGCCCAACTATCACCAACCCATGCATACCCATAACATCTGACACATGTAGCCATCAACTACTGTGGCCTGGATACTAGCTGTCCACCAAGCATCTGAGCCAAGCTACAGTAACACATGTACTTCTATACTAGGGCAAGTAATAAAGTTCAAAACAAGCAGTTAACACGCCCATCACAAAGGGGCTCAGAGCCTCAGGGGGCTCAGAGCCTCAGGGGGCTCAGAGCCTCAGGGGGCCAGGCCCTCCCTGGTGAGCAGCTGGCCGCCTATTAGCACAAACAATAAACATCAAAATTAACTCTTGTTCTTATGATGTATCCCCCTAGCTGTGCCCCCCCCATGCCTGAGACTGGTTTCAGGGCTGGTAATCAAGAGTTTCTTTTTGGACAATCTCAAATTGCAAGTGTAATAAACATCAAGTTCAGACTTCTTTCTACCAAGCACTCTTCGGAATTAAACCCCTATTGCTCCTCTAAAATGACTCCAAAGCTTTGCAAAGTTAAACTGGGACTCCTCTCAGTTCAGATACTGGTACATTACGAGCTTACAGTTCTGTGATTAATGGTCCCATATGAAATTCTTGCAAATTAAGCTTCTTACAGCTATACTTGGACATATCCAAAAGTTAACCCAAAAAGCCAAAAAAGGGTTTCTGGGTACATGTAGTAAGACTTGTTAGTCACTGTACTTTTCATTTCTAGAAGTGGAAAAATTCAACATGTCTCACTTGGCTATGGCCATGATAGCAATTATGTCAATTATTACCCTTTAGAATTATGGCACTAACTTACCAGTTCTAAAGGTTTGGGGCACCTATATCTGACAGGATGGCCAGTGTGCGGAACTATTAAAAATGCTTTTTAATGGCTCCATGACCATAGTACATGTACTGGTCAGACAGCTAGCCAGAGAGAGCCAACCCAAGGCCTCAACAGTGACATAGGGCTTCATGATGTATACCCCCAGAACTGTGGGGTCTGATGTCCCCTCCGTTCCCACAAACGGGAGCGGAGCGGACATCAGACCCCACAGTTCTGGGGTTACATAATGTAGGCCTACATATACCATAGTCTGAGTAACTTGGACCCTACAAATTGTATTTTTTTAACATTTGGACATGGTCAGGTCCAAATGTTAAAAAAGGCAATTTGTAGGGGACAACTTCACTCCAAGTTACTTGGACTATGTATCAGCCTAGCTCTACTGAGTGGAGCGTTAGTATTCCTCTTTGTGTGATTTTGGACGGGATCGTCATACTAACGCTCCACGCCTGTACATAGAGTAAGGGGAAAACGGTTCTCAAAAATTCCAAAAAAATTCCAAAAATTTTGAAGTTGGAAATATCATTGAAGCCCCAACCGTTTGACGTTGGCATTTAGTTTTACAGAAGCCAAGAAAGGTATTTTTGGTGAGTCTTTGGAATTTATGAGAACCGTTTTCACCTTACTCTATGTACAGGCGTGGAGCGTAAGTATGACAATCCCGTCCAAAATCTTACAAAGAGGAATAGTAACCAGGTAATGCTCCACTCAGTAGAGCTAGTAGTAGGCCTACGTGTATCACTGTCAGCCTACCTAGGCATACACTGCAACTTGTACGCTTCATTTTTCAACTCATCAAAACCAGACATTGATCATCATCGAAGCTATGATAAATGTTAAAGTGTAGGCCTGGTATAAAATGATATTCTGGCCACGTAATAATACTTACTTTGCCCAAACTTCCGAAAGTTCCAATTCAGCGGATCTAGAGGGAGTATCGCGACTTGGCTACGACAACAACCTGATGACTGGTAGTACTTCGCACTTACAGGACTGCGGTTTGAAAGGATTTTGCACAATAATGCTGTACGTTTTCCGCAATGATCAGCACTTTTTCACTATCTGCCTCACCTGCACAAGTGAACTTCCTGAAATGGCTTTGTTACCGACACTATCGAAAATTGCCAAAACTTCCTTTTAAAGTTTTAGCCCAGTGTTATTTCACTTGCATACGACCTAGGCCTGCCCTCGACGTATGTATCCGGGAGGGAGGGTATTTGTAAGACAGATACCCTGCTACACTTCCTGTTTCTTTGCCACGAAAAATATGGGATTACCGCATTTGTAGTTAGGACACCGATCTAAAAAATATATGGTGGCTTAGAGCGGACTAAGAGGTTAGACCTAATGGCTGCGTTCGCGCGGTTAGTCCTGTTAATAGAGTAGGGATGTGCGCGCATCACTCCCAAGTCAGCATGACGGGGAGTACACATGTACAGTGTATGTCCATGTGCTCCTCCCGTTCGTGCGCTTAGAGAGAGTACTTGCGTTGTTAACACGAGACGAGTAGCTTGCTCGAACGCACCCACTAAGTCTTGATGTTTTTGCTGTTGTCTCTTGCCCTCAGAAAAAATGAAAGAAATAAAACCAACAAAAATATCTTAGAGCTGGGGTGGAATTGCAGACAGTGTTTGCAATTTAATACATGCAAGGGGCAGTTTAGTGGAACTTTGAATTCAAACCTGAATAGTTTGAAGTTGTATGAGGAATTAGCCTACATCAGTCCTCTTGATTTACGAATTATCTGAACCTATACAACAGTAAAATCTTCACATACATGTTTGAGAATTTAAGTTTCAGGAATTGCCATCAGCTTGATCGACACTTTCCTAAAACNCCGCTCCGCATGATGTAGGCCTACATACACCGTAGTCTGAGTAACTTGGACCCTACAAATCGTCCTTTTTTAACATTTGGACATGGTCAGGTCCAAATGTTAAAAAGGCAATTTGTAGGGGACAACTTCACTCCAAGTTACTTGGACTATGTATCAGCCTAGCTCTACTGAGTGGAGCGTTAGTATTCCTCTCTGTATGATTTTGGACGGGATCGTCATACTAACGCTCCACGCCTGTACATAGAGTAAGGGGAAAAACGGTTCTCAAAAATTCCAAAAATTTTGAAGTTGGAAATATCATTGAAGCCCCAACCGTTTGACGTTGGCATTTAGTTTTACAGAAGCCAAGAGAGGTATTTTTGGTGAGTCTTTAGAATTTTTGAGAACCGTTTTCACCTTACTCTATGTGCAGGCGTGGAGCGTAAGTATGACAATCCCGTCCAAAATCTTACAAAGAGGAATAGTAACCAGGTAACGCTCTACTCAGTAGAGCTAGTAGTACTGTAGGCCTATCACTGTCAGCCTACCTAGTCCTACACTGCAACTTGTATGCTTCATTTTTCAACTCATCAAAACCAGACATGGATCATCATCGAACCTATGATAAATGTTAAAGTGTAGGCCTGGTATAAAATGATATTTTGGCCACGTAATAATACTTACTTTGCCCAAACTTCCGAAAGTTCCAATTCAGCGGATCTAGAGGCAGTATCGCGACCTGGCTACGACAGGTACGAGTACGAGTACAACCTGATGACTGGTACTGTGGTAGTACTTCGCACTTACAGGACTGCGGTTTGAAAGGAATTTGCACAATAATGCTGTACGTTTTCCGCAATGATCAGCACTTTTTCACTATCTGCCTCACCTACACAAGTGAACTTCCTGAAATCGCTTTGTTACCGACGCTATCGAAAATTGCCAAAACTTCCTTTTAAAGTTTTAGCCCAGTGTTATTTCACTTGCATACGATCTAGGCCTGCCCTCGACGTTTGTATCCGGGAGGGGGGGTATTTGTAAGACAGATACCCTGCCACACTTCCTGTTTCTTTGCCACGAAAACTATGGGATTACCGCATTTGTAGTTAGGACACCGATCTAAAAAATATATGGTGGCTTAGAGCGGACTAAGAGGTTAGACTTAATGGGTGCGTTCGCGCGGTTAGTCCTGTTAATAGCGTAAGGATGTGCGCGCGCATCACTCCCAAGTCAGCATGACGGGGAGTACACATGTATGTACATGTACACTGTACATGTACTCCTCCCGTTCGTGCGCTTAGGGAGAGTACTTGTGTTGTTAACACGAGACGAGTAGCTTGCTCAAACGCACCCACTAAGTCTTGATGTTTTTGCTGTTGTCTCTTGCCCTAAGAAAAAATGAAAGAAATAAAACCAACAAAAATAACTTAGAGCTGGGTAAAGGGTCACGTGGGGTGGAATTGCAGACACTGTTTGCAATTTGATACACGCCAGGGGCAGTTTAGTGGAACTTTGAATTCAAACCTGAATAGTTTGAAGTTGTATGAGGAATTAGCCTACATCAGTCCTCTTGATTTACGAATTATCTGAACCTATACAACCGTAAAATCTTCACATACATGTTTGAGAATTTAATTTTCAGGAATTGCCATCAGCTTGATCGACACTTTCCTAAAGCAAACAGCCTATGTATTTCGATTTCTTTCTGAACTGTTACTTCTTTGAAAAACAATGAGAAAACTCAACATTTGTGCCTGCATGGCTCTAAAAATGCAAGGAGTTTTTCTAGGGCTTCCGAATGTTGCTAAGATTAGGGACATCCGAGAAAACATGGCAAACATGTGCGAAATGGCAAACTGCATGTTTGGGAATTGCACTGCAATATTTCTCCAACCTCTCTCAAACTGTAATAACCACGTGCATATCTCGCTGTGAAGCATTCAAACCCACAAATTTATCTCTATTAAAATAGGCATGCACGTAAATAATAGCCCGTACCTGTCCTACAAAGGCCATTTATGACCAGAACGAAGGGTTACTTACACATAATAGTCCTATTTTCAATTTAAACTAGACCGTGGCACCGATGTTAGATTACTTGGTATCCAACCCCCTCCCCAAAATACAACTTGAAAGAACCGATCAAACAAGCAGACATGCGAAGCAAAACTGCAAAGGTCGGTCGCTGTAGGATACATTTTCATCAGCAGGTGCTCTGGGCGTCCTGAGACGCATAGCGCGTCTGCGCAGGTCCTGTTCTTTAATAAGACATTTGAACTCACTTTGAGCTTGACTTCAAGGTATAAGCAAAGATTGTATAGCGCAATCTTTGGTATAAGGGTGCAGTGTCCCAATTCAAGGAAAATTCTCCGCCAGGACGAGGCGCACAAAAAGTACCCTCCAGAGATTGTTTCGAAAAGAGGGGTCTGTTTGGTCCAAGAAATGGGGGGATTGTGTCATTATGGCCTAGGATCATCTGTGTAGATTCAGGGGCACCCATCTGGGAGCAAAGCAGACAAAATGGGATTGAAAATTAGTCTGAAGAGCCCGAGGAAGGTGAGGGATGTCATTTGAAAAATGGCCGCTGGGAGGGCTTGGCAACATTCACTTTTTGTGGGGTGAGTTTGTTTTGGGGGATAATTAAAAAATTCATTGGTTAACCTACTAATTATACAAATTGAANGTAATTAATTTATCGAGAAAAACAATCTACCGTAACAAAAGTCTACTTTGTTGATTTATTTATGTGACCAAAATGGTGTTATTTCATCATATACACGTTACTTAGCCGATGTCAGGATATTATTTCTTCTTTCAATTGGAGTTTGGCGCAACTGCAAAAACGAATAGGCCTACATGTACATCTTCTAGTTCTATTGCTAAAATGAGAGTCAGGCATGGTGGATCGATAGAACAAGGATATGTACATGTGAAACGATCAAGGGTCAAAGTTAAAAATACCACTGTGCAATCGTGACCAAAAAAAACACGGGCGACGCACGACGTGCGACGGACGACGGACGACGGGCGACGCGCGACGGACGACGCACGACGGACGACGGGCGACGCGCGACGGGCGACGCACGACGGACGACGGGCGACGGCAGATATGGAACTCCATATAAAACAAACAGCCTATGTATTTCGATTTCTTTCTGAATTGTTACTTCTTTGAAAAACAATGAGAATACTCAACATTTATGCCTGCATGGCTCTAAAAAGTTTTTCTAAGGCTTCCGAATGTTGCTACGATTAGGGATATCCGAGAAGACATTCCCCTTGTTTTATTTTTTTAATCGATGGACCTTTGATAATGGTCTACACGTAGAGTCAAACGGGGTGCAAAATGGCAAACTGCATGTTTGTGATGCATTGCAAGATTTCTCCAACCTCTCACAAACTGTAATAACCACGGGCACATCTCGCTGCGAAGCATTCAAACCCACAAATTTATCTCTATTAAAATAGGCATGCACGTAAATAATAGCCCATACCTGTCCTACAAAGGCCATTTATGACCAGAACGAAGGGTCATTTACACAGAATAGGCCTATTTTCAATTTAAACTAGACCGTGGCACCGATGTTAGATTACTTGGTATCCAACCCCTCCCCAAAATACAAAGAACCGATCAAACAAGCAGACATGCGAAGCAAAACTGCAAGGGTCGGTCTGGTGCGCATGCGCTGTAGGATACATTTTCATCAGCAGGTGCTCTGGGCGTCCTGAGACAGGTCCTGTTCTTTAATGACACATTTGAACTCACTTTGAGCTTGACTTCAAGGGATAAAGACGCAATAATCCGTTCCGAGTTGGAGCAAAAGAGGGCGTGTTTTGAAATGAAACTGACAGCACGTTGGTATTCACGCACCGCGCAGATACACAAGTTTATGCGCGTTTGACGCGAAGTACGCTGAGTACGCACAACGATTTTGGCCTAGAATGTGTGGTCTTCGTGTGCACGCCGAGTGCGTGCTAGAACCCGGTTGGAAATATTAGTACCATCTGTTTTTCTTTCGCTGGTGAGGGTGCACTGAAGCTCAGCTCAGTTGTTTTCTGTGTTGTTCTAGTTCTACAGTGTTAATACTTGGTTTGTGTGATGCCAGTTTACCTCTCTAGTTCCATCGTAATGTCTTATATTTAGTCATGATTTTAGCTGTTTTCCGATCTAATTTTATTCTTGAACTTTTAGTGCTTTTAAATTTTCCTAACTGTTACATAGAAATCAGACATTGTCAGTCTTATGACTCGCTGTTTGATCTAGTATGCCTAATAAACTGTAATGAAATAAAACGAAACGGTGGCTCGGGCCTCCTGAGGTGATATGAAACTCTACAATGTTGAAATTTCTACAGTGAAATAATTCTCTTTGAAATTGGAAACCTCTGGAAACTTTCAAGTTTCGGCCCCAGCAGGAAGTTGGTGACACCCTGCACGGTCGAAAAACACCAAACATTGGTACAAGTACATTAATGCTGTGGTAAACTTATCGGTAAAAATGGCATCTCGATCTCTGGATTGTGTGTACCGTACACGGCAAAATGATACTCCCTCCTGTATATCGTCCTGCATCTGTGAATTAAGTCCACAATTCGCCCTTCATGTAGCACTATATCCGGCCGCATGACCGCCCTGTTAAGGGGCACGCACTACTTGGCTGCGACATCTGGGCAAGTGCTCCAGCTAATGTTGTGCATTGGCTTGGCTTTAGCGTGCAAACCAAGACTGGAGGAATTCCTCCAGTTTTCCGGAAATAGCCGAAATATTCCGAAAGCGTCGCGTCTCGCGTCTATATTCGGCATGATCGGATGGTACCTTTGATGTTCGGTAATTCCAGCCGGGTAGGTAAGCTAGCTGTCGAACTTAAATATTTACGGTATGAAATTTTATGGTAGTCCGTCGGTAAAAACCGAAATAAAAACTGATCAAAATATTTTAAACAGTCTTATAATTTATAAGTAGTAAACCTAAAGCAATATTCTACTTCAATTACGAAGGATTATAATCTTTTATCTAACTTTTGCCAACAACAACTGCATGATGTCAACTCAACGGAATCTGGAACCCATCGACTGCAAGTAGGTAAATCTTTGCAACGTTGTACAATCTCGTTTTCACGTAAGCACAGGCAGTGAAAACAAACGTGCATGGACATGGAGACATATCGTAATATCGCCGGAAGTGACAGGTCGTTACGAACATTCATTTTTTACATATCTCAATGTAACTTTTCCTAGATATTACTGTGAGGAACACAAAGGTAAAGCTCCAACATAAGTATTTCATTGGGTGGTTTCACTTAGGAATTATTCTTCCAAAAACTATTGCACGTGATAGGACGGCCAAACATAAAATCCCCATAGGAGGACCGCGCGAGGGTTCCGGAAGCTCGCTGCGTGACCTTTGACTTTCAGGCTCTATAGCACGCCTCCAACTTAGAGTTTGTAACGCGTTGGCCAATCACAATAAGCGAAATCTGTCGACCCAATTCGCGTTTGGAAAGGGTCGACAGAATTCACGTATCTGGTTCGTAAGTGTAACGTCAGATCAGTTTAAACCACGCCCACTGCACATGCACTGCACATAGAGTTATCGACCCCACTTTGAGTATTGTAGCTCTGTATATGGGCTCCGCATACTAAGAAACACATTGACAAAATTGAGGCTGTCCAGCGATAGCGCAGGGCGGTGCGTACTATCATTCAAGATTATAGGAGGACCAGCTCTGTTACAGCAATACTAAAAAGCTCAAACTTCCCCTCCTACGGCAGAGAAGACGGTACAGTAGCTTAGTCATGCTGCACAAAACCATTCATCACAGTGTTGACCTGGTCATAAGAGATTTCCTTGACTTGCAAGAACCTCCGTCAGCTCGCACACGAATGAACACTAAGAGCTGCAAGGCAAATCAACTTGTCATCCCACAGTCTGTGTCACAATCCCATCTTCATTCATTCTTTCCTAAGATGGCAAAACACACGAATTCTATTGAGAAGTTATCTAGCTTCAAAATAGCACTGCAAAACCATCTATAGCTAGAATGAACAACCCCCTAGTTCCGTTCTGAGTGATGCTCATTTAGAGCTTTTCAGAGAGTTCATCCAGATCCAGATGCATTGATCGCCGTTAATGGCATTCGGGACCATGGAACCGGAAGTTAACGCGCAACTTCAGCGATCGTCCAATGGGAGTCTGCAAATCCTGGCGCGTCCACCTTTGTGGAACCGGATTGTGATTGGCCAACGGGTTGCAAACTCTTGGAGGCGCACTATTGATGATGATGATGATGATGATGATGATGATGATGATGATGATGATGATGATGATGATGATGCTGATGATGATGATGATGATGATGATGATGATGATGATGATGATGATGATGCTGATGATGATGATGATGATGATGATGATGATGATGA